ACAAGAACCATTTAATGTCCGTATTTCCTGTTAGCTTTAAATCTATTTTAATTGATTTTATTGCCTTTATTTTATAGTAGGCGGACTGTTAGCTAATTAATTAACAGTTCCTCTTCCCACTCGACCCACTATACAATCAAAAACAACCATCTGGGATTTAAAATCAGGCCCTTGTAGCCAAATTTAGAGCTACTGACGTAAACTCATCAGCAGGTCTGCAACCTATCTGGCATGTAATTTCCTCGGAAATAAATTAACTCGTATTGAAACTTATGTATGTATAAGATAATCTTAACTGGTCAACTACCGGTCCTTAAGTGTTGTGGAATAATGGTCTCAATCGAAAATTTTACCTATTATGGCTGCCCCAAACCTTAGTCTATTTACCAATTTTGTTAAGGAAGTAGTAAAAAGCACTTAGCCGTTTGCACAGTGCTGTAAATGTTGTGATATAGTTTTGGTAATCATTTTGGATGAGTAACTGCACAAAAACGGTATTTTACCAACTTCCTGAACATATGGCAATTATCAAAATTCAGTTTTCAATTGATTTATAACAGACTACTACAATCACCTATTCCTTATTTGAATATGTTTCTAAATGTGCTCCATTTCGGGAACAAAATTTTATTATTTTGGAAATTCCGTTTCCTCGTCCACAGAAACAAACAAAAATTAGTTAGAAAACTATTAGTGCATGCGCCAATCACCATAATATAAAAATTATCTAAAAAAGATTCAGTTCTTCAGTTTCCAGTAAATACAAAATAGGTACTTTAAAACATGAAGCTTATACAATTACATCACCTAAAGCGCTACCGCGTTTTCCTAAATCTCCAGCAATCCTGTGAAATTCGATGTTTTTGGTTGGTGTTTAAAATTGATTTATTTATTTATAAACAACAAGATTAGTAATCGGCTCTGTCTTTAATAAGATTGAAAAGACAACAAACACTTCCGGTTACAATTAGCGAAAGTAAGTTCGATTTGGGACAAACTCGCTGTACTTCTGCTTAGCTAGATTTAGATCAATGTTTACTAAAATACTGATTACCCATATAGCGGAACTCGTTCCACGCTGGTATATGTATAGGTATTGTGAGTATCTATATGTATTTTACGTTGATTTCAAAGCGTGAATGAATATGCAAGAACATAAATCAAATTCTGAGATTAATACCTCAGCCGTGCCGTGCGTATAAGGTAGCTTCGTTGCTATGATAAAAGAGTACCTATATAATAAAAATTAGTAGTAATAAAGTACTTCTTTTTTATGTGAAAGGGATTTCGTGTATTGACTCCATAGTTCATGCTCAAATACAAAATTTAATAGTTTAAGTAAAGGATTACCATAATGCACCACTGTTAGCAAAGTCGACATCTTTATACTCCACGTGCCACGTTCATGGAGTAATTCCAAATTGCACCTTCAAATGGGAAATTGCATGTAGATATAATAGAATGAAATTTGCTCCTGCATCTTTACAGGAACATTACATCGAACAATGCTTTCCACCATTTGCCTTGAATTTACAGTCACCGAGACACAATACGCATTTGGCTACAGGAAAGTTGTGTTTTTACTTAGTTTACATTTTCTTATTCGTCAGTCAGACTACCTTTTTAACTTTTGTTTTCATTCAATTCTATAGTTTGTAGATGTTTATGCGACTATCCAATTCTTCTCGAAACAGAGAACACGGTTAGGCAAAGTTCTCTCAGTGGAAGTTTATGACGAATAATGGATGATGTGTAAACTTTAATGGTAGCTTTTAGCTAAACCTTTTTTATTTACATATACAGGTACTTTTTCATTGTTCGGGTACTTATGAACACCGTGAATTATTTACGCGCGACTTCCTGAAAAAAATTAAAACTCGGTAATAAACTGATACATTGTGAGAGCCCCTTGAAACTTTTACTCACATAAAATAATGCAAATGACGACTTAAAAATTCCTCGAGTAATATAACCACATAGATACATATTTATAATTACAATCATTCAAATATTCAAGCAAAATTCGACGTTTTCATCGATAACTTTCCTTCGGCAAATTGGATTTTTACGCAATTTTTACACGAGCCCCGAATTCCGGCGACACGACTTTTCCGCGGCTACCCCAGGAAAATTCGCCCCCCCCCCGAACGGGTGGCCTCCTGAAACAATTACCAGAGGGTAAACGATTAAAGTCGAAGAATTCCGGCCGCGGCGTGGAAGGGGAGGGAGGTGAGGGTCGAGGCTTTCGAACGACACGGTTGCGGAATTCGCGACCCCCCCCCCCGCCCAGGAGGCACCCTATGAAAAGGCGAGGGTGCGAAAAGCAGTTTTGCTTCCCCCCATCGGAACGCATTTAATCTGAAACCCGGACGGTCCCGCGTGTTACGTACATATGGGGTCGGCACCCCGAAATAACTTTCGTTTGGGGGCGAGGGAGGTGCAAAGTTTGCCTTTACAATCGCTCAAATGTGACCCAAAACGTCCCCCAACTTACGGCGTACTACCCGCCTCAAATATCAACTTTTTTCGATCCGGTTTGATCCCCCCCCCCCTCCCCCCGGGAGGTAGGAGGACACACTAAACCTAACCTACCGAGATTTGCATTTTGGCAGCGCGTCGCCACGAACCGTTCAAATCATATCCTTCCCCCATCGACAACCAACACGTTGAAAAAAATCTGGTCCCAAATGGATGCATTTTAAAGGGCCGTGCATCCCTTAATATCTCCCTTATTTACCGTCCGATTCGTACCAAATTATTAACGGTAGCTGCGCCCGGCCGGGGGCTTGAAACGGGATTTTCAAATTTTTTCCATCCCCTCTCCTTTTCGAGATACCGACGCCTCTCCGTCGCCTTTCGACCTACGACCTGGATACTTCGGAATCACGCGTTTCGCGACATTTATAATAATAATAATATATTTGATCTTTTAGCCATTTAGATGGATAGCATAAGTCACAGTGTATATAACAAACAAACAATAAGATTAACGACAAACAAATAATGATAAAATTATCGCAGTAAGTATATATATAAATATTTTTTTTTAGTTGACACAATTTCTTGATCACAGGACAATTTAGTTGGAGGTGTAGTATTCACTAATTTCATAAAAATGCCTGGAAAGAATTTTTAATTTTTACTTGAAAATATAGAATGTTATAGAATTTTTTATTTCAAGTGGAAGTTTGTTTCATATTTTTACTTTTCTCTTTCTAGCCGATCTTCGCAAAATAGTATTTTGGATTTTTGATCAAACACGTCAACCGAGATATCTGGAGAACCGAACTTTGTAGGTAGGGTTTCATGGGTATCTTTGGAAAGTTCTCGATATGGGAGGGTCGATATTTCGGAACCTCTGAATACCAAATTTCGACAAGATCGGACAGTAAACAGCGGAGATATAGCGATTTGTAAATTGACACCTATCCTGATATCCTGATATCTCGAAAACGGTGCCTCGTAGGTAGGGGTTCATGGGTTTCTTTTGAAATCAGTTTTAGTTAAAAGATAAAGCGTATGAAAATGATGGTTTTGTTACGAGGTTTAATTTGTGTGAAGTTGAACTAGCTAAGTAATTAACTAAGGCAATACTTACAGGCTTTCGTTTTTATTATACGAAATGAATTTAGTTGTAAAATTAGGACAGTGACTTATACTAATTGCTGGCGTGTTACTACTGCTTTGGATTTCAAACGAAGTACCCCTTGTTGTACCTGTGGCTAGTGGAAGTTTCCGGATTAGGTAGCTTCAAATAAATATGATTATTTAAACATAGCTATAGTCAGTAAAATGAGTAAGTTCGCATATCGGATTAGCGCTTATATTCACAGCGCGCATGAGGTTATACATCTTTCCTTATTTAAAACATGACATTTGAGGTAGAGGGCAAGTGCGTATCTAGTTTTACGAACCGCGGGCGGTGAACTAAGAATTACACTGGACGTTACAGACGTTTAAAATGGAGGTTGTTGCAGCAAAAAGAGAAAGCAATAGTTAAGGTATGTTGGTCTCGGAATAGGAAACACCTACTTAAAAGCGACAAAGCCAGTGACACTCAAATGTTTTATTTTACTTTTGGGGAAGTAGACAATTATGAATTCCACATTACGTAAGTATATAAATTGATAGGAAAGGGTGCATTTTAAAAAAATGTTGAATCCTAAAGATCCTGAAAGATCCAGGTGAATTTGAATCCAAGAGTATGCACTAGATACTTCTTCTGCAAGGCGCTTGATTTAAATATAAAGTGCCCATTACTACCGCCAACACTACAACTCGGAGTAACTATTTTAAGAACGAAAGCTTTAGTTTATGTGTGTTCAATAATAAAATGGTCTTCGATAAAGCTATATAACAGCAACTTATTGTTAATTAAAAATATATCACATATAAAACACAGAATCAGGTTTATGGGCTGAAAGTCGTAACACAGAATCCATCAGAAGGTACGCTAAAAGTTACTGTCTATAATAATATTTTCGTTGATTTTTACTGGCGCCAAGCAATCAACTATAACCGATATGCAATCATTTGTAACTCTTTGTGATATAAAATTTCGTAAACTGGATAAATAATATAATAGATTACAGCCTTTACATTCTGAACAGAAGCTCTTGATATTTCCATATTCTCAATCTTGATAGGTATCTCATTTATACTCTATTCTTACAATAGGTACCCTCATGATTATGCCTGAAAGCCTGTTAATCGACATGTAAGCTAATGAGATTGGTATATGCTTGTAAATACACGTAACTGCAGTGTGTGTATAACATCTTGGTGGGAATCCATGGTGGTAAAGCTCAAAACGGGGTCAGAAAGTAGACAGTTGAATAGGAATTTAACACACTAAACCTTCCCCATACTTCTTTATTAAAAAATTGTGAATAAAATCACATAGCGACTATAGTTTCGACCTAAGTCATTTTCAAGCTGTAGGAAAATTGTAACTAATAACGAGTAACAATCTTGAAATATAAATCTTGAAATATACATACCTTAAAATTTAAAACATCAACAACAGAAAATAGGAAATTGAAAGTACAGAAGTTACATTTTTATCAGTATGCTGGAAAGAACATGTGTTAACCACTAGTTGAACATAATTAATACTTACAGGAAAAAATTTTTCCAATATAAAACAGTTGGTGTTAGGACATAGAAAAGTGGAACAAAATTGACATAGTCATGATATATCGACGATTAATTAATTAATTCATGCCATTAGAAAATGGACGCAGCCATCTTGTACAAATATAGTCAACGACTTAATTCGAAAGGTAACGAAAGGGAAAGGTTAAAGAAGGAAATAAAAAGCGGGAAATTTAAAAACAACAAGGTTAAACAGGGCCGGATTAGGTAACGGGACGAAGTGAGAAGAAAGGTGAAAGAATGCAACATAGCTTGCATTAGGCTATTGTTATTTAATATACTAAAATTTTTGGGCCAAACTACCCTGTGCCTGCTGATGGCAGATGTCGGGACTCGCGGGAAGATTAGTGTGCCCTCAAGTTGAAAACCCCCAATCTGCTGAAGGCAGAAAAAGGGGGAAGGGAGGGGGGGAAAACCACGTTGACAAGCGTAAAGGGGTAGAGGTTAATTAGTCAAGAATAACAAATGCTTGTTTAAATTTAAAATTTCGTTTAAGGAGTGTTGAGGATTCGCTCTGTAGTGATGGTAAATTTCTTTCATTTCTAGGAAGTCTAGCTTGAGGCTTTTATTGCAAACATGAAGAATTTCAAAATCCTCCTTCGAAAACGAATGACCAGAACTCAGGATGTGGTGGGCAAAGGAAGAACCTTGGTTAGGGTGATCGAAATTGAGGTTATTGTTTTTAATAGCGGAGATGTGTTCGGAAAACCGGGTTTTGAATGAGCGACCAGTTTGACCAATATAACCAGCTGGGCAATCTCGACAAACCAATTTATAAACCCCTGATTTAGATAAGGGGGGTATAGGATCTTTAGTTTTCAACAAATTAGACTTGAGATTACTCTTGACTGAGAAGGATATGGAGATGTTGAGGAAACGGAAAAGACGAGCAATGATATCAGAGATCGGGCCTATGTAAGGTAAGGAATAATAAATGGAAGGGGAATCAGGGAACTGAGAAAGGGAAGTGCACCTCGAGAGGTTGTCTTTACACAGCATTCTACGGTATAACTTATTAATCAGCTGTAACGGGTAATTGTTCGCTAAAGCGATATGATAAATGATGTTAAGTTCTCTCGAGTGGTGGGGTTCGGGAAGGTCAAGGGAAAGGAGTCTATGGAAAAAATAACGGAAGGAAGCAAGTTCCCTGACATATTCGATCCAATGCCAACAATTCAAATCAAGTGAAGCGCTCCTTTAATTCAAATGCAGCAATAAAAACTTACACTTCTACTCAAATTACATGTCCTCATTGTCAAGATCAATCACTCCGAATCATTCGCAAGTTTATTTCATGGAACCTGCAAGGTATCTTGGTTTTGGCTAGAGAGATTGGGTCCACAGATGAGGGTCCCTTGTTTATCATGCTTTGGGAGGAGACAAAGTGGTTATTAAAAGTATCAGCCTGGATAGTGTGCGCTGTTGAGCTCGTGTGAGTTTGTTTGCATTTGAATTGATAATATTGTTTTGCTATTCAATAGAGATTTAGTTATTTGTACATTTTATAGTATTTTTCTTAAAACCTAATGTCACTTTTTACCGCATTTAAAAAAAAATACGCTATTATATTCGTTATGGCTGGCAGGCCGGCTGTCCGCCTGAGATCTCCACAACTACAATAGCTAGAGAATTCAAATTTTCACTAAAAGCTTTCTGCTATAGTGTAGATGTGCAGGCACTAGTCTATTTTGAGTTAGATTACTTGTGAGATCGATAATTGAAGAAAATAATTTCGATATGGGTTTCGGAGGTGCTATAATTTTACCGTTAGATAGCGCTACCAGTATAAAAACTTATTATTTACTTTGTGATTTGTTTTACAAAATGAAGACGTACCCTCAATTGAAATTAAATAAAATTAATTATTTAACGCAGCCAAAATTACTCGTGAGATCGATAATTTTAAACTTCGCTAATAAAATACTGACCTGCATTACCAAAAATGCGCTTTAATCATGCATATGCTGATTTACAACTTGTTTAAAATCTCATACCGATTGTAAGGAACGACCTATAGTCGAACCAAATTTTGTATTGTGGTAAAGTCATTCGAATTCTTGATTTTTTAGAGTATTTGTTGCAATTCCACGTACAAGAATAACCCCTCGTGTCAGACATTATCCATTGTTTATGCGATATATTGTGCAACGCGAAACATTACCCCTCTTATTTTTTTGTTTGTGTGTCTGTCTGTTTACAGATTTGCAGTTTCGCGTTCTCTTAAGCTCAACAGGTTGCAACCGGAAGTTCAAAGGTAAATTTAGTTATTTTCGTCGTTTTCCCCTTTTAATGTTTGATTAAATTTTGTTTTTCAATACTAGCGAATTGTTTGAAACTCACTTAATGATTGTAACTGCGTTGTTTCTGCGGAAATCTATTTTGATAAATACTTTCCCCGGCTACTTGTTGATTCCCTTTTTACTAAAGATTATTTTAAATTCAAATATTTACATACCAGATCTATATATTACAGTATCCTATTTGTGATATTTTGAGATCATTGCATTAAACCATCATCATTTGTGACATCAATTATTGTGTAGATATGTTCTTTCCCTATAAGTATTGTATTCCTTTTAGCGTAGCAAGACGAGAACAAGGATCTCTTAGCCTGCCTGGTTTACCCTGTTAGTAAGTATTCCTCCGCACTCTTTTAACATTTATTAAGTGGCGCCTATCCGGATTACTTTTTTGTTTATTTGTGCTTGCATATAAGAACCCCACATATTCATCCCGACACACCTCTACCTTGCCTGAGCTCACCATGTGCTTATCTAAAGTAATTTTGTCGCGTTTGAACAAAGGGAACTTCATTACGAATTTCATTCACTTGTCCAATACCTCTGATCCGATTCCACTATAGCTTTAGCGCGGATTGCCAACCCTCCAAATGGAAAACGTTTGTGGCAAGTCGATTTATCCAAATTCAAGGTTCCACTAAAACAGCAACTTGGAAACACATCGGCACAATCCTGCAGACCTCTCGAGGCTCTGTACAAGAATTGCTGAAGAAAGGCTGTGGTGGTCAGCTACACCTACCCTTCGAAGCATGGTAGTCAGTAGATGTTCTGTACCACTAAAAACTGGACAGTCCGAAGCTGTTTCTCTTTATCCACCCTTGCGGCTAAACTGATCACTTTATCTACCCTTGCGGTTCGATCTACTCATTCATGCCATTTTAACATATCCTATAAAATAAACAATCAAAATTCTCTCAGCTATTCATATGCTTGAAAAAGTACATGTATCCAATCCACAAACATTATTGCCGCATAAACATCAGAGCAATTTTAATTTTAAGTTTCAACCAAAAATATAGCAAACCGAATCGTCAGAAACTGTATTGCATGTTTGAGACCGAATTCAAAGCCGACAAAGTAATTAATGGGATAACCTTCATTAGAACATACTTCCTATTGTTAATTGTATCTCTTTCACTCAAATGATTGATTACGCTGGGCCATATGTAATGAGGGAAACATTAGAAAGAGGAAGGAACACAATAAAATGTTATTTATGCCTTTTTGTTTGCCTTAGTTTCAGATCTTTCCACAACAATGTTTTGTTTAGCATTTAAACCATTTATAGAGCGAAGAGGTAAACGCAAAACTATTTTTAGTGATATCGGCACAAACCTTACCGATGCAAACAAGGAGTTTATGATAATATTTCACACGTTTTCATAAATATTATCATAACAAATATATGAAAGAGAACATTTTTGGTGATATTTTGGAGTTCTGGCCACAGTTCCGAATCGCCCAACGCCACTATCAACTATAAAATGTTGCTGCAAATAGATTAAACTATACGGGCTTCAGAGATCCCAATGATGGCCCTAGAATTTGAATCAGCCTGTTAGTATGTAGGCAAATGAGTAATTTAAATTTCGTTACATGTGCAGGTTGTCGGAAAAATACATTATTGTCCATCGACAATATTATCCAACTTACTTCGATTTCTAACATTCTGTCACATTTTGCGCGATTACTAAAACAAAGCAGAGAAAACAAAGAAGAATATAATGCCGTAAGTTATTTGCGTAAAGATAATATTCACGCTATCGTTATAAGTGTACCTACATACTTACATAATCTCTTCCTTATAAATTTGCTTTGTAAGAATTATTGCCCTAAATCTCCTTGTTTACTTGCAAAACAGTAATCTTTATAATACTAAGGTCGAATAAAATTGAACGTAATACTCTTTGAGAGTTTTATAATTAAACTGCTGCAATATTCTCACAATTCAAAACCGGAGTTAAAAGTTATAAAACATCCCCGTTAAAATGTAGAAATATGTTATGGATCTGCAATATAATTCCTTTTGTGTTTGTCCAAGTTAGAATTAAGTAATGTAAGAGGCTGTCTTTGAAGTAAAGAGGCTCTACCTGTGTTTTTTGAGATGGGCAGCTTGGAGATTTCAGTTTAATAATATAACATTAAGCAATAAATTAAATAATGAAATTTAAAACCAAATTACCTACTAACAGCAGCGACAGGCAGGTGATACCACCGTCGAGTCGGAACTCTGTACAGAAAGTTCCAATTCCAAATAAAGTCTGAAAGATGAAGTGCTTACCTACTTCCACTGTAAAACTAATTACAGTTAAAATAGGATTCAGCAAAACAAAAGCGGTTCAGAATGGAGGCTACCCCATTTTAGAAATACGCACAAACCTTCAGCATCGGCATATTTTCTACAGACCCGTCCTTAGCAAATGCGACGCCTGGAGCTGAACATTTTTACGGTTTTTTTTAACAATGTTTGGCGGTGGGGGGGGGGGGTACGGAATACCCTCGGGTAGGGGGGTCCGGTCTGCATCAACTCTCATTTAGCATTAGTAACGAAAATCACTTCCTAAACAAGTCAGATTTCCACAATGCTTAAACCATTGTTTAAAAGTACTTAAATGTGTAACTACGGTAGTACACACTCTTCTCCACTCAGACCTTTGATTATTGCTTATAATTTATGGTAAATATACATAATGGAAAAAAGGAAATAATTATTTTAGAAAAAGTCACCTTGACGTAACTAAAATTCCACTGAGATAGATTTGTACAACCTTATTGCAAGCAATGTTATTTCGCAGTTGCGGAAT